GTATTTTGGGAAAGTAGCGAACGTTTAAGTGATGATTCGAGGGGGAGACAATGTTCTTTCATTTTCACAGCCCTCTCCTTCCATGAGCCTAACCAGTAATCAGCTGTGGATCATTGTGGATCACCAAACACAATCGATGAAATCTTCTCACGGGGACAATTAGTTTCAAAGCGCCCTAAAAAATCAAGTCAGCACAATCGTTTTTAGTAGATAACCTTCCTGTTGTAGTTCAATACTTTTTCTAAGGAGGTAAATGAAAGGTAAATATATCGAATTACTACGTCTTGATTATGCTCTGTTTTGTTATAACACAATTAGGAAGTGGCTAGAGCACCTAAGAAGTAGGGAGAAACACTCGGCTATAGGTCTCATGTTTCACGCTACGGTTTTTTATCGCGCCCTCTAGCTGCTTCCTGCGTGTGAGCAAAGTCAAGGCTTTTTCATGCGTTAAATTAGTATCTACTTTTAGCCCTCGCACATGCAAGGGAGGAGTGAACACCTCACGAATTGTATTTGGGCAAATTTAATTCACCATATATAGAGAGAAGAAAATAAATAACACAATATAAAAGCTTATTGCAATTAAAATTAAATTAGGTAACAGGGTCACAAGAATTATATTATTGTTATTCATATCGTATATGTTATTCACCGGCTGGGATGTCCGTATTGAGAGAAACTGTGCCCGAGGTCTTGAGTACTCAGGCCGAGGGCACAGTTTCTCCCAATACGGACCGACCTAGGCCGGTGAGTAACATTTTTATCTTTTTCCTCCTGAGATTTAAAAGTTTCAGGAAAATTTTACTTCAGCCTCCAACCTGTGTGTGTTGAAGAAGGGCGTGTTCATGTTGATGTTATTCAAACTGAGCGCGCGATCGATTGCAAACCAAAACAAAACATTACAACACGATTTTTAACTTGTAATTTATATTATCACGATTAAACTCTCCTTTAGAATAAAGGGAGGTTTTTGTGTCTTGGTAGACAATTCATAATCTGAGTGTCAAACAAGGATAAAAGAATTGACGAACTTAAAAGCCACAGGAAAGGAAATAGATCAAAGATTTTCTTCGGCTGAATATTTACTTTAAGATTAATTAAATCGAGGGGGATAAAAACTGCACAAAAGCTTTATAAAAATAGCTAATTACGCATACCAATCTTAGGGTTTTGAAGTGAATTAGAATAAAAGAAGGCCATGTGGGTAACTAAACAATTATATAAACAAAGAAATAAAAACAGCGATAAATGACTGCTGGAAAAATTGTTTGTGCTGTTTATTCAAGATTCGAAGCTACATGCAACGTTGACAACAACTTTTCTGAAAAGTCAGCCCAAGGTAAAATTTACCGACCTACAAAATACGTAAGGGTTTCTTGTCACTGGCAATTATCCGCTACTAAGTATAAACATAGAGAACATTAAACAACAATTTTTAAAAATGATGCCATATTTATTAATTTGTAAATCCTTTTTTGTTCAGTCTCAGCAACCTTCAGTGTACCTTAGTCCCTCAACAGGTAGTATTGAATGAAACTAGGATTGAAGATAACTTATTGAGTCTGTACCTTAATTTAATTTTAAACTCATAGACAGTCGTTAAACGTCTCAAAATATTTAAGTAAATATTAAAACTTTTAGGGATCCACGGTATACGGCCACTAATTATAATCAAGACGGGAAAAAGAAAAAGGAATAAATTTTATTTGCTAAAGTAAAAGGCTACTTTATCATCTTCCCGCCCTTTTAATTTGATGAGATAAACTATTAATTCGTTGTATGTTAACGGGAGCAAGGATGATGAAGCAATCATTGGAAGACAATTATGAACTCAAATATTCAAGCCAAAATTACTTTTCTGCTTCACTGAGATCTCAGTAGTAATATGGCAGAGAGAAACGCGTAATATACACACTCTGAGAACACAACCGTCTCTTTTCCCTCATCTCCGTCAGGGACGTTTCGCCAGAAGGAACGTCTTCGCCTAACAACAGAAATTCCATACTGAATCACAAAACCCATCTCAAACGAAAATCAGCATTCTTAAACATATAATTACGCAACTTAAAGGTCAACAGAAGCACTCAACTCAAAACAAAATCACAAAACTCAGGTTCAAAACAGAATGAAGAAAATAAAAGCAGATTGAATTATAGTTGTTTAAGTGGAATGGTTATGAAACCCGTTACACTCCCTTTGTTATACGTTTTTGTTAACTGTTTTGGACCTGACCGTACACAACGTTCAAAGGCATTGAGATCATTCTGGACTTACTTACCAGTGAAAACTTCGCATTAATTTATTCAGTCACAATTTGAGAACAAAAACAAAGGATTGTGCACGGTCAGGGATCTTGATCTTTGCCGGCTTAGCAGCCACCTCTACTAGCTATGATTGAATCAATAAAACCAAAAACAGAATCAAAAATTTGAAAACAGGAAAACAAAATTCAAAACGGAAGAAGAAAAATTTAAACAGAACGAAAGATAATAAAAAAATCCAAGACGCAAACAAAAGCTAAAAACGAAAACAAAAATTGAAAACACAAGCAAAAGAAAACAAAACAAAACAAACAAAAAAAACAAGCAGAGTCACTAAATAGCAAACTGACCAAATTGACAATACACAACCCAAGACTATACTGACTGAAGTTGAATGGTAAAAAAAAAAAACAGACATATTTCTAATTTGACGTTGCTGCATTATGATTGTTTCTTACTGATACACATCCATAAGATACTCATTGCCGCTACGGCAATCAAACTTTTGCGGACGCCATCTGGCGCACAAATGAACAAAAGGGGTTCTTATAGCAGACGTCCGTGGAATTATCTCCCCAATCCCCCTCTCTTTTCACTCCTTTCCCCCCGTTTTTAAACCCCTACCACGCAGGCTAATGGTCAATTCTATTTTGACTTTATATACGTCAAAATGTACTTTAGCATAGCAACCGATTTTTGACGGTGATGTTTGCAAACCTGCGTTCTTGAAGAATCGTTTCATTTTTAGATTTAGTTGAAGCCATTATCGCAAAAAAGTTCTTGGGATTCAATTAACTTAAGAATTAATGCGATCAATGTGTTATTCCAACAGTAAAAACGAAAACAAACCTACAAGTTTGGATTACTTGAGTACGTAAATCCTGCTTGCCTTTATTACTTCAAAATAATAATGATTACAAAATAATCACAATGTTTTACTTTTAAATTCTGCGCCGTTTTATAACGGCAATTGAACTGAGTGCAGAGCAAGACGAAGTTCAGTTGCCACTTTATTACAGGTAATTTAAAATTGAAATATTTTACTGATGGGCCTATATGATTTGGATCTGTCTTATTATCTTGTGTCTGCTGACAGTTCCACATGTAAATATAACCTCAGACACACTATTTACCAGTTTAAAATTAGATATGCAAGAACTAATGTTTTTAAATTTTCTTACTTCTTTAGAATAGTAAAGTCATGGAACTCTCTGCCTCTACATTTAAGAAAAACTGAATCTTTAGACGATTTTAAGGATTGCCTGAAATCCTTTCTGCACATGAAGGATACTTCTACATTCTCTTAATTTATCTTTCTTACTAGTTTAATTAACAATTTTTGCACTAGGGCGCGTTGGATATGAGATGGTAAATAGCCAACGAGGCGCGAAGCGCCGAGTTGGCTATAATAATCTCATATCCAACAAGCGCGAGTGGAATAATTGTTTTATTAAAAACGCCCACAAAATTCAGTTGAATCTGCCCGAATTAATTTTGTCTGAACAAACCGGAAAAGACAAGGGACTTCCGGTATATTCACATGTCACACGTCGACTCTATCAAAACTGTCAACACACGAACAGACTCGCCTGGACTGGATGAATGAAAAATTAAAACATTGTAGCGATGAACACTGTTAAAAACTCATCGAGATTCTAGGATTTTACACAGCAGGACAGCTAAAAAAAACCTGGCAGATAATGTATGTGAAGAAAAATAATTTTTAAGTAACAGCCGTCGAAATTACTGTGAATTAGGATTTTCGGTGCAGTTACAAAAGTAAGAACAACAGAGAAAAACTATTACCTCGGTCGCTTGTTATGAAGTTGTTTGAAGCAACCAGCTGGTTTAGCTGTACGAAAAAAGATGCTATATTGACGCCTCGATTGCTGTAGTGAATGGCTGCATAGCCTGTATTCTGGTTGCTTGTGATTTATGTTCTTCATGTCGGATAAACAAGCCGCAGTTATCTATCGGCGAGTGACTCGACGAGTGGCTTCGCAATCATGAAGGAACAACACTTGTCTTCTTTCGTAGCTGGTCAAGGTACTTTAGTTCCATGTATTTTCATGTGTTTTTCGATAAACTTTCAAACAAGCTCTTGTGGCTTTTTTGTTTGTTTGTTATTTTCCCGATGAAATTGCATTTTCTAGTATTCTAAGAAATGAATTAAAACGATTTTCTTCGGGCGCCATTCTATCCTTCGCGAAAAAATCTCAGCTAGCTTCCAATTTTAAACTGACGCGTACACCATCCATATATGGAGAGCATGGTATAATGGCTCATATACGAGAATGGCTAAGCCAATCAAAACGCTAGAATTGCATTATCAAATGATTCAGTTTTTAATAATAATTATTATATTCTAGTTTAATATTGCACATGATTGCCACTTGTCTAGCAATTTATGATATTTCATTTTAGTTGTTTCTATTTCTTATTTATTGTGAATTTAGGTAGCCCTTCAGTGAGGGAAGTTGTTTCCTGTTTAGGGCTTTCTAAGTGTGTATTGTATATTGGCAAACTATACTTACTAAAGTAAAGTATAGTAAAGTATCAAGTGGCCGGTTTTATGAAAAGCGAAAACCGATAAACGTATAACTTAATAACGTACATACATATAAAAAAACAATAAGTGTGAGAAAAATATTTAATACAGTTTACAAGTCAAAAAATGCATCTATCTGTCAGTGCGCATATGTTGTGATATCATATTGTTCGCCGTACAAAAGCGATTGTCTACACTTCGGCTTCTTCGGGCTCATCTGTCACCTCGGGTTCCTCTGTCTCCTCCGGTTCCTCTGTTTCCTCTGGTTCCTCTTTTTCTTCAGGGTCCCCAGTTTCCTCACTTTCTCCCTCGGGTTCTTCAGTTTCCCCCTCGGGTTCTTCGGTTTCTCCCCCCGGTTCCTCGTTTTCCTCTGGTTCTAATATTTGCCCGTGGCAATAAAAGCAAAAAAAAAAAAAAAACGAAAAAATGTAAAAAAGAAGTCCATGTCCAATTAACACTGCTGATGTTCATCGCAAATGGGTAACGTAGCAGCGAGGAAAAGTAATGGCATAGGCAAACATTATTACCATTATTATTGTATGCATGTAGTTAATACTTTACTTTAACCAAAGATGCATCTTTTAGAATTTGCGAGTTCTAATTTCATTGAATTCTTAATGAATCATTTATCTTCTATTAACGTAATGCAATATTAAGGATCAGGGTCACCTTAAAACATAAATGAATAAATAAAAAAATCAAAGTTTATTATTCATACTACGTCGTTATTGACTTGTCAGCAAAGAGGGGTTACTGAGACAACAATTTGGTGATTTAAACGTTTTCCTTGTTGTTGTTGTTGTTGTTGTTGTTGTTGTTGGTAGTAGTGGATCCTGTACGATTACTTGGACGGTAATAAGACCCTACGGGAACTGTCTTACAAAGATGTTTCTCCTAGCGAAGCATGAAGTCGGTCTTCCATCCAGAAATTTGACTCAAAATACCGGAATGCCACTCTCGGAAATAGTGCATAAACTACCTTTCCTTTTTTATATATTTCATTTTCATTTTCTTTTGTTTTTAAAGAAATTTATATTAAGTTTTAGTTACAATGTTTCAAAGTCTTAATGAATGAAAACAGGTCAACGATCAATCGCATATTCAAAGATCACATGTCGTAATCACTCGTAAATGAATACTGCCATAACGTTCTTGATATTAAAAAAGTTCACAGTAATTTTGGGCGAAGCGAATCCAATTTGCAAGTTGAAAACACCTGTTAGAAAGGGGAGATAATTATGTTTGGACACAAAAGTGAAGCCATATGCATGTCGACGCTTGTCATTTGAAACCCAAAAGTAAAAGTAAAAAACCGTTTAAGCATGACGAGACCGAAACATGAATATAAACGAGGAAAAGGCCTAAAATTTTGATGACACGAAACAGGTAATACCAAGCTCGGCAGTACAGAGATGGACGTACAAAATCCGCTACATCAAAATGATAATGAGTAAACCACTTATGAGTTTTTGTTTCTTCAATCTCGCTTAAAATAATGGATACGTACTTCTGGAATCATTAAGCATAAATGAGAAGAAAAGAACACCTACCTTGTTGAGGGAAGCTCTCCAGCTGACCCACCAAGAAAACAAGACAAAAAAGGAAAAACAATTTGAATTTCATTTTGGCTTATTCAACCTTCCTCCTAGAATGATGTTTCGCTCAATGAAATTTTCACTTTCACTAAAGCGATTTATAGAAGAGGACGATAATATCTTTATCAATATTACCTTAAATCTGAATATTGGGCTTGAGAAAAACTACTCGAAGATTGCAATGAAACGATAGCGCTTTACGTTTACATTTTTTTTTTGTTCTGCGTAATTTTGAAAATTTCTGGTCGTTCTTGTGAATAGTTCCTTCTTTTATCTCTCTTCACCAGTACTAGATTACTGCATCTGGGTAACGCACTAAACAAAAGTTTGTTTACTTGGGATTGTCTGAAAAAGAAAACAATATTGTCGTTATTTAATGCATCTGGATAAAATGGCTAATTATGGAAAAGAATACGTAATGATATGTATGAATATGAAATGAGTATTTTTAATAAAACAAGTGCATTTCAAAGTAATTCTTTAAAGTTATTTTTCTTTTCATGATAAAGTTCGTCACAAAAGAGGACTTTCAGGATCAATCCATGCTCTATGGATTTGGTACTAATTCAGTTCTGATTAACCATGTGAAGGAATTTCTTTCTTATTGCGATATTGACACTAAAACGGCTCACTTGTTTGCCCTTTAGCATTTCACCGATTCACAGTAATAATATAAAATACCAAAATAAAAATGGCTGCTGACGGAGGAATTGGCAAAAGAATTCCTGTTTTCTTGGAGATCTTGCTACATGTCCAACTTATTCGAGATTGCTGGCAAAACTACAGGTGTAGTTATCCATTTGGTTTAACAATAAATGGCCCTCAAAGTCTGCGTGATTTTAAGCTTAAAGTTCTTCTGAGTGCTTCAGCTGTAATCGCGGCAAAATGAGCCAAATTATTTGAACTATAAAATAAAGGTAAATAAATATTGACTCGATTTTATACTACGGTCACTTCTAGTTATGTCGTAAAAAATAACGCGTCATATTTACTCTAAGACTGCATTGCCAATGCTGATATCAAAAACATCGCATCACGTGTTGCGTGGAAACGTTCCTGTTAATTCTGGCAAATATATAACTCGTGACCTCATTAGTTATTAAACTTAAATAATCCTTTCAGCCTTTTCATCCTGCCTAGCTTTCTTTTGAAAAGGTAAGAGACACTTTGATAATTTTTGATTTATGATAACTTACTTGAAAGTTTGATAACGGCCCAATATTGAGTAAGACAACTTGGGCCGCTATATTAAAAACTCAATGTATCCGTGAGCCAATACTACTTATTATAGAGTCAAAAATCTTACAAGCACGTTGAAAAATATCATGAGGAAAACAAAACAGCGGCGAAGACTTCTAGAATAATTCATCGTGGAATTCTGCCCCTGAACGCTTTAGTTGACACTTAATCGTTTTGTAGTTCGATTCGGCATTTATTTGACTACTATTGACATTGTCATTTAGGTGACAAAAAGCAATACCAAATTAACGAACGATTGTTCTCGTCCAGCTGAACGCGCAACAAAAAACATCCCCGAAAAAGCAAAATAGTCTTCAGGCCTGGCCTGGGGTTTTGAGTATTCGGGTATTCGTGTCTTTTTTATTCAGGTTTTTTCACGTTTTTGGTATTTGGTATTTAGACACGAATTTGTGTAGATATTTTGACAAGTGATCGAAATGCGTTCAACAGAAGTTCGCTATGAGTTGGGAATGGGAAGGAAAGAATAAACCTCGTGACCGACAGAACTGCACCAAAAAGTTATTAAGTCGAACCCCACTTTACAGACACAGCTTAATGGAGACAATGGGCACTTTTTTTCTTGCCAATCAACAGATTGACATAAAGTCAACCTCGCTAATGCGGACACTTCATTGTCAACTGTTTGCTGTAATAAACCTTTCGTTTTTGATGGTTAAAAAAATTTAAGGGACACCATGCTGATGATCCCAACGCTATAAAAAAAAGGGACAGGGTGAATTGAAGACGTCAATTTTATACTATTTTGGCATCAGACTAGTTATGCAGAGAACTGTGCGTATAAATGAGGGACTGTTGAATGTTTAAGAACATAGTCTGCAGAATGACGGGTTTTTTGAAGGTTAGCGATGTTTAATTGGACGATGCTAAATGTCCCGTTCTATTTATTTAGTATTTTTGTTAGAATAAAAAGTATGCTTTAGATTTTAATATAGAATACAAGAATGACCCGCTTAATACAAAACCCTGTTAATACAGCGGACAATTTCTATGGCCTCCCTCAGTGCCCGTATTAACTGGGTTTGACTATACATTGTATTTGGGTGAATTAATCAGCAGACTGTCCAACCACCCCAGTGCGCCAATTTTGATTAAAAGTCACCGATCCTGAGCAATATCCAATCGTGATGGCAAAAATCCCGATTTTGACATGCGTGCTTAAGCTCGATAATTTCATCAAAATCTTATAATACTTATACCAGAATACCAAATACAGTGTAATCAGCTGAAACTGATATTCCAAAAACTAAAGCTGCCATAAATATAACATA